GTAAACCTAGGTAAGAAATGAACAAGAAAAAAAAGAGAAAAGGGCCTTTGTGCTCACTGTTTGCCATTATTTTCTTCTGAAGAGGAGGAAGGGAAGGCAGATGGTTCTCTGACTGGGCTGGGGCTTCACATGGCTGTCTGCTGAAAATAAGATTCTGGAGGTCTTTATATGTCCTCTGCATTATACAACAGAATTTGTGCTGGCCTGTCTCATCTACTTACATCTTCCTTTCTCCCTTTTCCCACTGTCAGGGCTGCTTCTGTCCAATCCCTAGGAAATAAAAACCTTTGGCTCCATAGATTTAGAGAAAAAGTACTTTTACTAGGAAAGAACTGAATGCAACTTAAGTCAAGCAAGATCTGAGGCAAAAATGTGTGAAGTCCAAATTGAAACAAACCCTAGAGGTCAACCCCTTTGTAGCTAGGCAACCTAAGGGCAAGTACCCGCCAGGAAATGTTTTGAGAAAGACTTTGATTCAAGTGCATTGCCTCTGGCTGTTGAAATGACCTTGTAGAGATAAGCAAAACCAGACTGGTAGTTAAAAAGCTGCAGAGGAAACTGGAAGCATTGCGGTGACACTGGCTGGGAAATAGTGAAGCTCCGTTGAGCTTTGCGAAAACCCAGGCAGACAAACCACTATTGCGGTGTCTTTGGGCCAGAACCTTGTAGGGACGGGGGAGAGAGAGAGAGAGAGAGAGAGGCGCCTCGGAAGACCAAAGAGGAACAGGCAAATTCCTTGAACGGTCGGAGGCAGCTCTTTGACCCGGCGGTGGGGCAACTGGACTAAGAGATGTGCAGGAGCGGAGTTTTGAACAGAGCATTGTTGCCGGGTGAGTAATTGGCCAACTCACAGGTAAAAAGGAAAAAAAACCTTTTAATTGCTTAAAGAAATCCCAGCGATAAATTGGCAACTAATTGGCACGGAGGAATTTAAGCGGAGGGGGAAAAAAAAGAGGAACTTTAAAACCAAACCTAAAGCCCTAAAAGAAATCTTTCACCTGGACTTAAAATTGGATTTCGAAAGGAAAAAAAAATAAGACAAGGAAAAAGGAGGCAGAAAAGCATTTTTTAAATAATAAAAGGATTTAATTTGGAAAAGAAAGTAAGCGTTTTTGTGGATTACAAAATGGATACTTTGTTACTAGAAGATTTGTGAATCGGAGAAAGACATCTGGCGGAAAGAATGTGAGAAAGAGACAGTACATATTCGTGCAGCTGAAGCAAGATTAAACAGAAGTGAAGGATAAAGATTGAAATTGTGTTGGCTCAAGTGAATATTTGAATTGGACATTTTTTAAAAAAGGACATTATATGGACTTTGAAACCTGAAATATATGTAAATAAAAAGAACAAATTTAAAAATTCTAGCCTTTTAAATTGAAAATATGGAGAATTGGGAGGATGAATATGAGATATTGAGATATTTCAAAAAATAAGAGAAGCATTTAAGGGAAATAAGGAATTAGAGGATTGGTTAGAATGCAAAAAAAAAAAAGAAAGAGAAAAGATGAATGAGAAGCAAAAGAAATGAGATAATACTGAAAAGGAAACAATTGAAAATAAAGATAAAGATGATTACACTGAGTTTAATAGTGACAGAATAGAAATAGATAAGGGAAACTACATCTCAAATATGAAAAGGAGAAATAAATGGGTAAAGATTGAGAAGGAAAATTAATAGAGTTAAAATTAAAGAAGAGAGGCTGAAGGGGAGAAATAAGAAAAGGAAAAAGAAGAAGGTAAGGGAATGGGAGAAAGGAAGGAAAGCATCAAGAAATGGAACTGTGGAGAGTCTAAGAGAAAATGGTTGAGTCAGTGAAAATGTTAATTTGTTAATAAAGAGAAGGATCTTAGTTGTAGAAATTATATGTGAAAATGCTGTTAAATGGAAAATATACCAGTAGATGCAATGTGAAAGAAAGAATGATATTGGAGGAAGCACTAAATGGAGAAAAACAAATAATAATATAAGGATTAATTGAAACTAAGACGGAAAATTGAAATTGAATGTAAAATTGAATGAAATTAAAATGTTAAAAAATGATTTAAATGTCATACTTGTAAGGGAATGGGAGAAAGGGAGAAAAGCATCAAGAAATGGGATTGTGGAGAGTTTAAAAGAAAATGGTTAAGAGTCAGTGAAAATATTAATATGTTAATGTTAGTTGTAGAAATTATATGTGAAAATACTGTTTAATGTAAAATAGATCAGTAAATGAAACGTGGAAAAAAATGAACTATGATGTTAGAGGAAGCACTAAGTGCAGAGAAATAAATTGAAATTGAAATGTAAAATTGAATGAAAATGAAATGATAGTAAATGATGTAAATGACAGACTTGTAAGAAGTAAAACGGAAGAAATACATTGTTAAAGGGAAAAAAGCAAGGGTTGGAAGATTATTTTAACAAAGGTTTCAAGGAAAAAATACACTTAAGTTGAAATATTTGTTAATAATTAAAAAGAGGAGGGGAATTTCAAATAATATTTTTATAAATGAGAAAGATCGGGGTTGCCTGGACACCATAGTGGAAAATATTAAATTGAAAATGAATACAGCAATAGAGAGAGATGAAAGAGGAGTAGAGAGTAGAGAGATGGAAGATAAGGGGAGAAGAGAGAGGGATGGAAGAGAGGGGAGGAAGGAAGAGAGGGGAAATTAGAGGAGGAGAGGGGGAGGAAAAAAGGAGGAGAAGGAGAAAGGAAGGGGAAGTAGAGAGGAGCAAGAGAGGAGGGAAAAAGAAAGTAAGAAGGAAAGAAGAAAGGGAGATGCAGGATTGAAAAGAAAGATTGCTGTACAACAAAAAAGATGAAATGGAAGAAAGGCAACCCCGAACGTATATAAATATACTAAGGTAAAGAATGAATGGTTAAAAAACAAAAGAGAATAAATATGAATAAGCAGGAAAATTAGAATTTGAGGGTGAATGAAGATGCTGTTTATATAAGTAAGCAAAGAAATATTGAGATATGATTAAAAAAAGGGAAAAAAGAAAATTGTGGTAAAATTGTAATTGAGTAAAATGTATTTGAATTTGATAAATTGTATAAGATAAGATATGGCCAATACTCTGTTCAAAAAAGATGTGGGTGAATGTGGCAGGGAAAAAAACCAATAAAACTTGTTTTTTAAAAAAACAAAGCTGCAGAGAAAAAATCTCTACTGAGCCCCCCCCCCCGGTTCTATAGTAGCAAGCAGCAAACTAGCTGACACCCACATATGAACACCCAATAGACAAAGATGGAGCTGGGTTGAATATCTTCCTCTTCTGCAGAAGGTAGAGCTAAAACTGAAGGGAAAACCTATTCATAACCAAATGGCAAAAGTATAAGCCCTGCCTTCTAGGCTGCAGAGATGGAATCAGTCTGTGGTTCCATCTTCAGTTGACTTTCTTCAAATAATTTATTGGGAGTAAATATGGCAATGGAATTGATACTTGGAAGTATCAATTTTTTGATACTTGGAAGATCTCACTAAGCCATATATTAGAAATTCATTACAAGAACATTAGTGTTTGTGTCATATAATAATGAGGACATGCTGCTCCACCCCTTGGCATCCCTGCACGTGGACAGGAGCACTTGTGTTCCTAGGTTGCATGGTTTTGTCTTGGAAACGTGCCATTTTCACAATGGCCACAATTCATTGCAGCCGCTCCAAAAATGGGACCTGCTTCCAGAACAGAGCTATGCAGCCTAGGGATGCGGAGAAGTGGAATGGCCTGCTCTCTTTTCCCAATGTGAGCACCAGAGCCCTCCTAGAGGTACGTTTGTGATGGGTGATAGAGGGGTGGAGTGCAGCAGGGTGAGAAGTAGGCTCAAAGCCTGTGGGGACCCATCATGGGGGAAAGCAGGCAAAAGGTGTGTGGGGACCTAGCAGGACAGGATGGGAGAGAGAGAGGCTGGGGAACTGCTGCAGCATCCCTGCAGTCAGTATCCCTGCAATTAGTTGTAAGGATGAGTGACCACAGAGGCGCTGCAGTAGCTATAACTTTGAAACTGGGCCATAAGTAGTTTAGGGTCTGTCTTAGGTTTGAACTGTCACTAAGCAACCAGTTGTTAAGTTGAAGACAACCTGTACTGAAAAATTCCTTAAAGCTGATGCTTTGATTGAAGCATGGTGAGTTTGCTTAGCAAGTGTTTAGATTGACGCAGCAAGTTTGCAATGAAAACCTTGAAGTATGGTTCTAGCTAAGGACTTCTGTGTTGTAGAAAGAAGAAGAGTTTCCATTATTGGTCTTACTAAATGACTCAATGAAAAACAAGGAAAATTGGTTTATGAAGTTAATGTCCATCATTATGCATATATTAATGCTCAGATTAAGAAAAATAATCTAGAGGGGATTTTGCTGTCACAGAGGATGACAAATTAGAGAAACTTATATAGAGAAACTTGAGATGAATCCCTTGAATGGAATACAATGGCTGATGGATGTAATCTGTTTAAAAGGAACAGAAATGGGAAAGGGACAAGTACGGTACATTGTATATATAACATACTCATTCCTACTCAGAAATCCAAGTGAGTGGACATGGTAATGTCTATCGAATGTTCTTAAAAACAAAAGCAAATTGACAGGAACCACTTACACAAATAAGTGATAGGCTCCTGTTCATCGGCTATGTCCGAGCAGAAGTGTATAGTTCAGGATACGTAGATTTGATTTTATGAAAATATGTTGTATTTTAAAGGTAGAAAACTCACATCATTGGGAGTCAGATGGAATATAAATATGTACATGTACCTAAATTTATGGAATATAAAGTTATTTGCTAAAGCCATGCAGTTATTTATAAAACAATTATAAATTTATAAAGATGTGTATATTTTAAACAGGACGTTTGAATTTCCAAAGCAACATAGTCAAAATGGTTTTGTTAAAGAACTATTTCAATAGATTAGTATGATTTTTCATTCTTATTTGAAAAGTTCTGTATTTAATGATGCATAACAGCTGTAGAAATAAAGGCTATAACTTTGTAATTTTTGTTTTGCGTAAGGTACTGCATGTTGTGCCCCAGCGATCCATGAATCAGACCTCTTGACTGGATGTAGTGATGTTCAGACAACTCTACGGACCATGAGGTGAGAACAAGATTGTGTGCAATAAAAAAACCAAATTAATAAACAAGAGGGGAATGAAATCAGGCTTCTAGGCCAGGGGTGTTAAACTGGCAGCCCGTGAACTGGCTGCGTCACGTGAAAGCCACACCCATCTCAGCTCTGTGAATGGAAAAAACATTGCGAAATGTCACGTGACAGCAATGTGACACAGCAAGTTTGATGCCCGAGTTCCAGCCAATCTTTTTGGTTGATATCTCCAAAGCCAGATTTCATATCTTCAAAGAGACATGAAATCATTAACACTTCAGTTCGATTTTTTAAAAATAATTTTATTAGATTATAATTACAACAATAAAAACTAAAAGAATAGAAAGAATAACAAATGCAAAAATAGGAAGGAAAGGAAGGAAGAAAAGGAAAAAAGAAAGAAAGGGTAAGGAAAGGAAAGGTAAAGAAAGGAAAGGAAGAAGGAAAGAAAAGAAAGGGTAAGGAAAGGGAAGGGAAGGGAAGGGAGTACTGGTACATGAGAGCAGGTATGATATAGTTGCCATTACTGAAATTTGGTGGGATGAAATGACTGGAATGTAATGATGGAAGGATATAAAGTGTTCAAAAGAAAGAGACCTAACAAAAGAGGAGGCGGAGTTGCATTATATGTATGAGATCACTACATCTCTACAGAAATGCGTTGTTGTGGTCCGCCAGCAGCCTGCGGAGCTGGCAGCAGAATTGGACAGTGAGGAGGCTGCTGAGGACCACGGGCCAATCCTGGAGTCTGGGGAAGGCTCAGATGAGGGCTCTGCATCAGAGGCAGAGAAAGGGCCATCTGAGAGGTACATGCTGCCTCCAGAGTCTGACCTCAGTGAGGCAGAGGAACAGGGGGAGCCTGTTCCCAGTGTGCGCATGCGCAGATCTGCCAGAAGGCGAGAACAGCTAAAACAAAAGGGATAACTCGGGAATAGGGCTGGGAGATCATTGGCCCCTCCCATAAGACTTAAAAGAAGAGCAAAGGCACATGGGCCTTTGCAGGAAGCAACGTTTGTTCATTCAATTCAGCTTAAAGCCCGAAACTCTGTTTGATTCTGGACTCTGTGTGGCTTTGCCAATTAGGTCTTTGGCAGTGTGTCAAGGGAGATAAAGGTGGGTGATTATCCAGAAGGACTGCTCCCTAAGGACAATTATAACTAATTGGGACTCATCTGTGAATGAACAGAAATTCACAGCTGTTGCAATAAAAGAGATTTTTGGGACTATTCATGCGTTTTAATGGCTCAGGAAGCCTAGGTCAGAACATGCATAAAAACAAGGGTGAAGGCCTCCTAAAATGCATATGAGTTCATGGAAAAGGAAAAAAGGATGACATAGCCATAGGTATCTCCTCTGGTGGATGTGTAGAAAGTGTGACATAATTTTGGCCTGTTTATCCTTTTAACATTCTTTCCATTTAAATGTATTTGTTGGCTCTTGGATTGATACTGCTTGGCTGTACAGCAGCTATTAAAACCATCTCTGTTGGTTAGAATTGTAAGAAGAAAAATGTTCTTTGTGCCCTGCCAAATACATTCAAAGAGGCTTAGATTTACAGAGAGAGAAGAATGGTACTTCTTTTCCAGAATTTTTCACATTATTAATACTGTTTCCATTGATCTTTCCAGATACATGCAGTTGGCCAACTTGACAGGCATTCCAGCCCTAGTGGTACCAGTTGGATATACAATTTCAGGACTTCCCATCAGCCTTCAGGTAAGTTATTACCTTCTGTAGTTTGGTGTGAACTCAGTGAACCCAATTAAGAATAATTTTCTTTCTGATTAATTCATCCACTTATATCAGTGATGGTGAATCTTTTAGATACCGAGTGCCCAAACTGTGTGTGCGCACATGCCCAAACTGAAAGGTGCGTGCACTCGCAAATGTGTGCGAACATGGTGTATGCATACATGGACATGCGCAGCAGAGACCAGAAGACCAGCTGGCCGGTGGGAGGCGGGGCATCCCAACACTGGCAGTGCGGCAAGAGGTAAGATCTTTTTCTTTTGTGAGCTTCTGTTTCGGCGTCTGCAGGGAAACAAAAGCTTACGAAAGAAATGCCACGGAGATCTGACCTGGGGCGACGGCGCACGTGCCAGCAGAGAGGGCTCTGCATGCTACCTCTGGCATGTGTGCCATAGGTTCGCCATCACGGACCTATATTCATCCAATTTCTTTTTTTTTTCAATTTCTGAATCTTCCTCAGATGTGGCCATATTCCTTCCTAGCCCTTGTTAGGCCAATAATCACAGATGGTGGAAATATGTTTTATATTTCTACCAAATCCTACTGAAATTCACATAGATCTTCCATCTTTTGCAAATTCAGGGGAGCAAATAAAACTGCATTATTTAGTCAAATATTAAATACTGATGCCTTTTATTTAGAATGAGACTCAACTATTCTATTTGTTTGCTTAACAACTTTTCAAAATAGAAAGATGTCTGCTTTCTATTACAGAAGTTTATAGTTTACAGAAATGATATTGAGGTATTCTGTGTCTTATGTGGCAGGTTGCTCTAAGTGTATCCTATTGTGTAATAAGAAATCTTTTTAATATAGTATGGATTTCGAAAACGGGAAATTGGGAAGTTGTCCATCACCTAGAAAGGGAGTTAACATACCATAGCATTCCTGGCATTCCTAATGTTTTGACAAAAGTACCCACTCAAACATTCATGCATAAGCTATGACCAATTTTGTTTCAAATATATACTAACAAAAGTTTATAAGTAGTCCTTATAGCCCGTTGCTTAGCATTCATTCGAATGTACAACCAATTTTCCCAAGGCTATCTGTCCAAGACTATTTGGATTCAAAATTCTGACAGTTGGCTGCCCACCACTCCTTGCAGTCAAGTAATTGCACTTTGGACATCTGGCAACTGGCCCACATTTACAACCATTTGCAGCATTATGTGACTGTAGTTTATATTTTTTGCCAGAAACTGGTATTTCCAGTTACCAGCAAAAAACAGCCATTGTAGACAAAGGATTCACTTAATGATTGTGATTATTGATTGATCAATAACCACTGCAAAAACATTGAAAACATTGTAAAATTGGTCGTGGTCATGTTGCAGTCCAATTAATTATTAGCATGACTTACGACCATAATTCTGTAGTTGACTACATGTATGATATATGCATAACCAACCCCATCTTGGCCTGAGCTATTGGTAATTTCCAATATCAGATAATCTAGGATCCAATGGCTTTGCATTGTAATGAGAGTGAGTTTGGTCTAGTGCAGGGGTATCAAACTTGTGGCGTCATGTTGTAGTCACATGACGTATGTGACTTTTCCTTCACTAAAATGGGTGGGCGTGGCCAGCGCGTGACGCATCCAGCCCAAGGGCTGCAAGTTTGACATCATTGGTCTAGTAGTTAAGGTGTCAGGCTAAAAGGTGGGAGATCAGAGTTTTAGTCTTACCTTAGCCATGAAAGCCAAATGGGTGATCTTGGGCCAGTCAGTCTCTCTCAGATCTACTCACCTCAAAGGTTTGTTGGGAAAGTAGGAGGAGGAAGGTGTATTGGTTATGTTCACTGCCTTATTTGTAAAAATACTAAAGATGGGATATAAATAAATGAAAATTATATCAGGGCTTCCACCTTTGATAGCATTCCAACCATCTATGCAGTAGGTAGCTAGTTGTCATTTCTTTATTTTTTAAGTGTGTGAATTGATCAGGTTAGAGCTATCAGACTGGAAAAGGATGGGAGGCTTAGACTTTTCCTTTTCTGTTTTCTTAAATCCCTGGTTTACTCTTTGGGAAGTAAGAATTTTAAAAAGAACAAATAGGCTACACAGAGCACCTAGAGGAGTCCTATTTTATAGGATATTTTCAGTGGTGGGTTGCTACTGGTTCGCCCTGGATTGGGCGAACCGGTAATGGAGGTGGAAGCCGCCCAGACGCTTCTGTGCATGTGCAGAAACGTCATGCACGCTCATGAGCGAACCGGTAGCGATGGGTTTTGAAACCCGCCCCAGATATTTTATGCTTTTCTCTCAAAATAAATCTCTGTTCAGAGTACATGATACACACCAGCTGGACTAAACTAATTAACATACAATTGAACTTCCTGAGTGTGGGACTTTTACAAGATTGAAATCTGGAAATCACTTTGCCTCTATTATGTAAGGAAGGGTGTTCTGTACTTATTATAATGCCTTTAAAGAAGGTCCAATATTTAGTTTTCCAAAATATAACTCTGGAAATTCCAGTTGAAATAAGGTATTCTGATTATATTTTGGTGACTTGGTTTGGTTTGAGCCCAGAGAAAAATGTTGATTTTAATCCATACACTTTTAGAAAACCTGGGCCACTGGTTCCTAATGCAAAGCCTCCTTTTGTTTACCCACAAAACATTTCTTCTAATGCCCTTATTCTGGAGCCTGGAAGATGATTTAAAAATAAAAAGATCTCTATGTCTTTCTCCAGAATTCTGCTTATTAATGGGACAGCTTGCATGAGCCTCTTATTTCAATAGAAGACCTATTTTCCAGTTATTTTTGCATTTCCAGTTTTGAAAAAAATGTTGGTTTCCACTGAAAAACTTATCCCTGTACATGCTGATGTAATAAATATACTGTATAGCCTGTGAATTTTAAATTGTGTGCTTTTGTTATTGGTTAAAATATATAATATGTGTAGTACTCAACTTATGACCACAATTGAGCCCAAAATTTATGTTGCTAAGTGAGAAATTTGTGAGTTTTGCCCCATTTTATGACTTTTCTTGCCACCTTTGTTAAATGTATCACTGCAGTTGTTAAATTAGTAACATGGTTAAGTGAATCTGATTTCCCCATTGACTTGTCAGAAATTTGCAAATGGTGATCACATGACCCCAGGCACTGCATCCGCCATAGATGTGAGTCAGTTGTCAAACATCCAAATGTAAATCATATGACCATGGGGATGCTACAATGGTCATAAATGTGAAAAGTGGTCATAAGTCATTTTTTCCAGAGCTGTTGTAACTTTGAACGATCACTAAGCGAATTGTTGTTAGTTAACGATTTCCTGTACTTTGAGAAAGCACTTTTGTAATTATTCCAATGAATAATTGTAGTAATTATTTTCAAGGTTGTCTAATTCTCCTTTGGTCCTACTTGTTTTACATCCAATGTCTCTAAGCTCTTTTTACAGCCAGAGATCAAATGAGCTTATAGCAACTCTGCCCCTTCCCACGTATATTCTGATAAGGTACAGTATCTCAGCAGTTTTTCATAGGTATCTTGCTGCTTTTTTCACAGATGATGACAAAGTGGTGGAATGAAGCGTTGTTGTTCCAAATAGGCCTGAAACTGGAGCAATTTCGTGGTACACCAGCAAAACCAATAATTTACTATGATATTCTGAGATAATATGGCTAGCTTCAAAATTCCTTAACATTTCCAGTTCCAATACAGTTGTCTGTTTAAAGTATGAATGGCTTAAGGGAAGACAGTTAGAAAGCTTTTCAGGACAGATTCACTAGCTCCCATTAAAAAATGCAGAGAAAATTAAATTGGAACGAAACAGTAACTTACTAAAAGATGTACAGTGCTGTAGGTGTCTGCAGTGTTTATAGTTTATACTGATACCAATACATTCAGATATTGCAGAGTTTTGTGATTGAGCAGATTCTATTCAGATACAATTTGTTTGAATGCATTTTAAATACTGTATGTGACATTTGCATTCAGCATGTATATATAATGGCATAGTATTCTTGATATGTTTCTTGCATGGAAAATACTTTCTTAGACAGGGTGATGGACATTTACAGATTTTTTTTAAACCCAACTGTGACAAAAAACTAACAATATATACCCTCTAGTGATATTGCACAATTATATTTCTTTATACTTCAACAGAATGTTAATTTCTTGTGCCACAATGAAAGCAAATCATTTTACTAGGCTTGTGCATCCATGCTCCTTTTCAAAGTGATAGAAAGCAATTGATTCAGAAAATATGATGGAAAATATTGAGATGCCTCTTAATTGGCATCACCATCATTAATACAAAATTTCATGCAATGGATTTGTTCATTTATCCGAGTTTGAAATAAAATTAATACAATATTCAGAAAACTCTGGAAAATGCCATTTCTTTTCCTGATCATGTGAATGTGACCATTCTCAGGATTGATGTGACAGTTTTCCAAAGATTTAATATTCTAAACTTGAAGTTTGGACATGCCTCAAAATAGTATTTAAGCCATGGAAATAACATACACATTATCATTCTAAACCAAGCTATCCTTAGGGCAAACAATACTGAAGACATGATAATTTTTTCAGAAATAATCTTAGAATAGTTGCAATATTGTCATAATAATCACCAGATTAGGCTGACTTTTGGTTTTGAAATTATCGGTGGATAAACCCTGGATTTGGATATGGAACCACATTCTCAGTAGATATTTCATTGAATAGTAAAAATAATAGAAACTAGTGTTTTTTTTCAGCCTTACCTCATACAACAGTATTCAATGAATGGGAGGAGGGAATACAGAGATTGTGCAGGTTTTCTTGAGTTTAGGAGCGGTGGTCTCAAATTAATGTTAAATTGAACAATATGAGGGCATAAACTTCTGTAAAAGCAAGTAGCTATCCTCCTTTATCCATTCCTTTGTAATGTTCACAAAATTTGTGACTGACAAGCTGGTCCTACTTGATAATGGTATATTGTTAAAATGATAAGAGTAAGACTCGTTTCCTAGAAAAGCCTTTCTGTTCTTCAACCTAACTAAAGTATTTTGGTATAAGGTAAATATAAAGCCCTTCGTATACAGGTAGTCCCCAATTTACAACAATTCATTTACTAACTGTTCAAAGTTACAATGGCACTGAGAAAAGTGATTTATGACCATTTTTCACTCTTATGACCATTGCAGTACCCCAATAGTCACATGATCAAACTTTGGATGCTTGGCAACTGACTCATATTTATGACGGTTGCAGTGTCCCGGGATCATATGATCACCTTTTGTTTTCTTCTTAAAAGCAAAGCCAACAGGGAAGATTCACTTAACCATGTTACTAACTTACCGTATTTTTTGGAGTATAAGACACACTTTTTTCCCTCCTAAAAGAGGCTGAAAATTTGGGTGCGTCTTATACTCTGAATGTAGCTTTTTCGAAGCTTTTTTTCACCCCTAACGAGGCACTAGCGAATGAAGCAATCTACCTCCGACTCTTAGCTGTGCTTTAGAAGCTTTTTCAGTGAAGCGATCTTCCCTGCTTTGCCTGTTCTCTCCGACTCTCAGCTGTGAAGCTTTTTTTCAGCCCTAAGGAGGCACTAGTGAGTGAAGCACTTTGCCTGCTCCCTCCGACTCTCAGCTGTGGTTTTTTTTCAATCCTAATAAGGCGCTAGCGAGTGAAGCGATCTCCGTGGTTTGCCTGTTTTTCTCATTGTTTCTCTCTCCAAAGATCAGTTGTGCTTTAGAAGCTGTTTTTTTAATCCACAAGCAGGGGATAAAAACCAGCAAACTAATGTGCTGAAACTGACCAGATTAAGGACGCTAGCCAGATGAATACCTGGTAGGCAGATTTCTCTCCCCCCCCCATTTTCCTCCCCAAAAACTAAGCTGCGTCTTATACTCTGGTGCGTCTTATACTCCGAAAAATACAGTAACAACTGCAGAGTCACTTAACAACTGTGGCAAGTGTTTGCCTTATAAAATGAGGCAAAATTCACTTAACAAATGTTTCACTTAGCAACAAAAATTTTGGGCTCAATTGTGATCATAAATCGAGCACTACCTGTATTAGAAAACTTAAGAGTTTTTTATTATTGTCGAATTTTGTAAAAGTACTGGGACAAGGGCATCCAGAAAGGATTCTCAATCTCTTACAACATTGTTTTTCCTGCTCTTTTACGTATTTCAAGTGGTATTTCTGTAGGTTTTTTTGTTTCTGTGCATGGATTTTATTTTGTACTAAACATTTTGGCACAATGTAGTATGGCCAAGAATATACCCCAGAAAAAGAAGCAACAGAGCATCTATAAATAAGTAAAAGCAATTATTGTCACGCTTGTCATTCCATTAAAGAAAATAAATAAGATTAAGATTTTGCATACATAAACTACTATAGAGGAGGACTTAATCCTCATTCCCAAATTGTCTATATTCTTTTCACTTTGGAAAAAAATGATAAGATGCTTAACATACTCCTGTTAGAAAAAGCTGTAGTTTAGTTCTCATATGTTGCTCTGCAGTTCTATAGGGCTCATATTCTGTGCACCCTGTCATCTGTCCAAAGTCTAATCTTAACCAGAGACATGTAAAAAAATTCATTAAAGCAAGGGAGAGGCAACTGTTATGTGGCAGAAGGTTTAGCTGGCATTCCAAGACAGGTTATCTGATCCAGGCTGTAAAATCTGAGAGGCTGAGGTAGGAGTGCTATCCAATTTTGTGTTGCCATCTTGTAACCCTCTACATGTTCACTGTTCACATTTGGTAACTCTTAATTCACAGAACTGACTGAATGTTTTCACAAAATAGCTGTTATGGTCAGTCACAAAACATTCAGATCACAGAACGCTTTCATCCCTATTTCTGGGCCTACGGATATACCTTCAAAAAGAGGGACTAAACTTGCTTTCTTAGATGCCTTAAGAGTATTGAACATTCTTAGAAGTTACTCAAGGCTAGTAGTTTGCAGAGGCCAGTCTCATTTAATTATTTTTAATTAAAAAAACTGCCAACGAAAATGACCATGTGCCCCACTTGGGTCACTCTGCTGCAGAACGAAGTATTAAAAACTTGTGTTTATCTGTGATTATAATAAAAAAAGGAAACAACCAGTGTTTTAAAATTCCAATTCTATATAAAATGTAAAACAGCCTTTAAGGATGCAGTACAACATTGAAATTCTGGGTACTCCAACATTGGAGGATTTAAGAGACTGGACATTTACCTGAAATGGTATAGGATCTCCTGCTTGAACAGGGGATTAGACTAGAAGATCTCCAAGATCCTTTCCAACTTTGTTATTCTGTTAAATACTAATATAAAAGGTGTGCTAAATTATTTTATCTTCCTTCCTTGCCTACTAAGGAATCCCATGCAAGCTGGACATCACATGTCATTTGAGAATACAGGTAATCCTCGAGTTTTGACAGTTCACTTAGTGACCATTTGAAGTTACACCATAACACCCCCAAGCGTTTACAACAGTCCTGAAATTATGAATGTTGCAGCACCATGGCAGTTGTTAGCCCTTACGAATGACTGCAGAGGCACTGCAACTTTCATCCTAACCCACCCTCCCCCATGCCGGACCTTGAAAAGATCTGTCTCCTGTCTATTGTGGTTTCTTTGCCTTTGAGAGAGAGGAGAGCAGGAAGATTTCGTTCCCAGCATCTGATTGGCTTGCAAATGCTTTTCATGCTGAGAGTGGAATGTTCTGGTGGCCATGATCTTGTGCAACTTCAGGCACCCATCCACTTTTGCAGAGAATGGGTGCCTGAAGTCATGCGAGATCACAACCCCCAGAATATTTCATTGTTGGCGTGAAAAGCATTTGCAAGGTGATCGGACGCTGGGAGAGAAATTGCGGTGCTTTCAGCATCTGGTAGGCTTGCAAGTGCTTTTCACGCTGGGAGTGAAATGTTCTGGGGGAGTGTGATTGCGTGCGACTTCAGGCACCCATCCGCTTTTGCAGAGAAGTTGCATGCGATAACCTTCCCCCCCCACCCCCCCCCCTCCAGAACATTTCACTCTCAGTGCAAAAAGCATTTGTAAGCCAACCGGACGCTGGGATGGAAATCATCCTGCTCTCCTCTCCCTCAAAGGCAAAGAAATTGCAGCAGAGAGGAGACAGATCTTTCCATCCAGCATGGCAGGATGGAACAGGGGAAGCCTCCCCATAGCCTTCCCTACCCTGAGATACCATGTGCATTTAACGACCCACACATTTGATTAGTGAACGGGTGAGCAAAAGCAGGGAATGATCATGCTCAAGTTACGTGATTCACTCCTACGAATCCTTGAGTTATAAATGTAATTGACAGACTCCATTACTTTTGTAACTTGAAGTTTACCTGTATAGCTCAATAATGTGCAAAACATACTTTTGGCTATTGCACCATGTGATGTTGAATAATATTTTATTTTATTGCTCTATGTGCTTGAAGGTGTTACTAAAATTATTCTTTAAATGTGAGGGGGCTGGAGCTTTGTCATGTAAAGAAGTTTAAAACAAACTGAAGCACACCATTACCATTTCAATGCTTTAAACATAACATTTTTGGCAAGGTTTTTTTTTTGGTGGCATGATCTTTTAAAAAATCAGTGACCATAAAAAGGGATCCAGGAAGTTGCCCATGTCTTGTCCACAACTGTAAGCAATGGCCACCTTTGGCTGGATGTATAGCAAATAGGTAAGTCCTATACATAAAACTGCTGGTTTTATGATGGCTAACCTGCATGCACAGTAGATAAAGGGACCACACATACAATGCTCTTGCTTCACATAGATATATGTTGATATACAGTATATACACAATGATGTCTTTATATAAAATAACCTTGTTTATAAAGTGACATTTAACTGCCACTTGGCCCTTCCCTACCCCACAAAAAACAGTAGTATACAAAATATAAAATATTTTTTAAATATTTATAAACAGTTGCAAGGAAAAAAATATAACTGTATGAAAATATCCTTCCCTTCCTCAGATGACTAATGGGCTTTTAACCCATAGCTGTTGAGTGGATAAGAATAGGCCTTGCCCAATACTATTCGGTCCCTCAGGAGTTTAAATAAGACATAGTAGTTACAGAAGAGTATCAGAGCCATGGAGAGTGTATGGTTCCACTTCTCTGAGCGAAGCAGGGAGTAGAGCTGATAACAGACCACACTGCCTTCTATGAGAATCAGCAGATTGAGAAGCCGTAAGGGATGGTGGAAGAGGAACTAGAAAAGGAAACAAAGTGTGTGTTTATAGAACTTATTAGTAGCATTATCTCTGAATACAAGAAAGAACCACATTTTATTTACAAGACATTAAGTTCCTCCAACCTATGCTAGTCATTAATGATTTGTTGTAAAAGAACAGAAATCTTTTTATCTCATGGTAGGAAGTATTTTCTTCCCAGATCCTCAATAATCCACTATATACTTACATAAAAGCGAGCATGAGAGACATCTGAAGGCACAGCTACGTTATAAGGTCCCACCGCTTTATATAAACATCGACTATGTCGTACCAGCACTCCTTGTGGCCATATTGTGCTCTCAGACCAGCTATGGACAAAGAAAAAGATTTCATTATTATGAGAAAGCAAAACCAGATGAATACTTTCATTAAATAAATGCGAATGCCTTTGTATATGCCTTATATTTAAACTTCTCTAGTTTTAGAACTTTTATCTTTGTTCAAGAAACATAGCAGAGATTTCAGTAGAAATGGATATCCTAAATTAGGTAGGCCAGTAGACAAATGACACCTAGTATTCTAACTCAAATTAAATTAAACTAGGGGTAACCACTCCTGTCTGTTCACTGTTAAGAAATCACTGAACGTTCCTTCTTTGAGTGTTAAATGTATTTCTCTCATTCAAATTTGATAAAAATTCTCTACTACCAGTTGCACTATGCAAAAATTCTTGGTAACCTATTAACGTTTTATAATGATATTTATTTTGCATGCTTTTTAAATATTTTAAACAATGGACAATCAGCAAATCCAACTGCTTTCTATTAAAAGCTTCTACTATATGCTCAAATTATGGTTTCCATCCCAGGAATCTATTCAAGCCGTAGGAGTTTCTTTTAGGGGTGCATAGAATTTGTATGGTTTCCCCCCGTAATATGTACCTCAGCCCTCCCCCCAATTTTTCTTTTAACTTACAATACTTTTCTTTCTTTTTCAACAATCGTTAAATATTTATAAGAGACTGTCTTTTAATGAACAAATGTCCTGCCTGCCTGAGTTTGCAGTCAGGAAGATGACTGAGCCATCTTCAGTTCAGTCCATTCAGTTGCATGGAATGTTGGAAGGCTTTTATGGTGATTGCAAGGATAAAATTGCTGATCACTCAAAGTTTGAAAGTAGGTAAAGTTGAAATTGGATCTGAATGATCAAAACGCAAGAGCCATGGAGTGTTCTTGGAGTTGGCACTGGTCTTCTAAAGTGTTTACTAGAAAGAGTGTCTTTAGCAGTTTTTGTTTGGCATGTAGACCTAGAAATTACACTATTTCTGCATTTGAACTTTAGTAAGCTAGCTAACTTTGTGAAAAGTATGACACAAAAACCTATCAAAACCATGTTCTGCTAGCAGTGAATCTTATATATGAAAATGCAACTTATAATAAGAAAACATAAGCCTTGGAAACGTCAATAAGCACAGCTTACAAAGATAAGTCTTTCTGAAATTCCTACAGCCCTAGAAAAAAAGTGTTCTGATCACAAACTCACATGTGTTGAGGGGCATTACTATATGAACCATGTTCCAGCTTCTGCCACTTGCCCAAGTGAGCAGCTGATCTGTGTAGCAAGTCACAATACTTGGGAGGAAGCAGTTGTGTGGTGAGCATGACAAAAGCGTTGATCCAAACCATAATGAGGTGCTCACATGACCAGCGCATATCGTAATACTGAGTGCTCTGTAAGAAACCAGAGAATAAATTAATGAGAGCATCCCAACTCTCTCAGAAGCAATGGTGTTCTGCAATAATACACACGCATAAAAATTCCCTTCTCACTCCTATGGGGGCAGAATTTATTCTCAATCTCGGGTCCTCTTCCAGAGATTTTGGAATGTGAGGGTTCTTCACAGTATCTTTAAGTCTTCCTAGCACTACACTCTCCTGGGGAGAGAGCTCTGATGTTGTTCCTGGGATCTGTTGGAACCACTCTCCCAGTTTAGGATTTATAGATCCAAGTGCTCTCTCCTACCACCACTAGTACCAATTTGGCTTTTCCTTTCCACATACTCTTCAATTCCTTTTTCAGGCCCTGGTACTTCCACGATTCCTTATAAACTGCAAGGCTAGTAAGTTAGGGGAACTTGGGCATTTCCTTCTGACTATTTTAATGCATTACATACATTCTCTGCACACTTTCTTGTCTTACAACTCCTATGTAATTTCCTGAGCTTTCTAAAAAGTGCTCACACAAATGTGTGCTTATGGATTCCATAGTAAAATGATAGATTCAACATACATTGTTATTCAAAAACAGATCTAAGTTAACTGTAAGTCCTGTATTTCTGCCTTTAGAATTATATTATTCTGAATAGTTTCTGAAATCTATGCATTGATCCCATTAGTTTGCCCAATTCTAATTGGATTGATTTGAAGTCTTAGTGCTGATAATCTGGATATTGTTCAGTTAGGATCTCAATTTAGCACCAAGTGTATATTATGGCACAAAATAGAATCATGTTATAATTGTCTTGAAAAAGAGGACAGGGTTAGTAAATGAGATGGAAAAAGGACTGGGAAAACCACAGGGGCACTACATGTATGGCAATACCTATCCTCCAACGGGGAGCAATACTAGGGCACTCCAGATGCAGCTACACTCCGCCATCCAGGCTGCCAAAGGGGAGACAGAGAAAAGGGGAATTAACCAGAAGTCCATTGCCCCAACAATCCACAGGCAAGTTTCAGGAGGTGGAGTGGCACTAATAATAATAGTAAAGTAATCCAAGAACAGCTACCTTCACAAAGCATAGTGGCAGAAATGCCACATAGTAGGCACTGAAGAGGGAATTGAACAGAACTTCCTTGATTCGGCGGTTAAAATCTGCTTTGAGGCCCTCCACTTCATTGCGAATGAGATCTGGGGACAAGGGACAGCTGTGCGTCGGAGTGGTCACAGTGGGGTTGAACTGTTCTTTGACAGATTCTCTCAGGAGAGAAAATAAATCTTTGGGCTTCACAAGACTGCCAACCCCTGAGGCACTATCATCCACTAGTTGATCCTGCACTAAATAGCTGCAGTCTGTTGAAAGAGGCTGGTTTCTACTATCTTGGTGGAAGCAGCACAATGGAACATAGACACCAAACCTGAAAAAGAAAAAAAAGACAGGGTAAGATTATAACCTGTGACACATCTCATTTATGAATATCAGACAGAATTTTCTATTGAGAATTGTAGCTTCTCAGATAATTGTTTATCTCATTTTTCTATTCAATTTGATATGATTCTTCCTCTTGTTCATCCAGATCTTGTATGAAGTTGATGGGCTGAGTGTCTCCTGATTAATTAAAGTTTGATATATAAAAGACATTAACAGGAAAAATTGTTCTGAAACAGACAAATCTTCCCTTATGATTTTTCCTCAAAAATTCAAAAAGTAGCTTTGAAGCTACTGTTCTATACCCAGACTTCATTTGTCAAAATAGTTTCTTGTACCCTCTCCAATACAATTGGAATTGTTCATTCAGGACAAAAGGTAAGGATACTTACGGGTAGCCAAGAAAGAGGAGATTGAGGACAGAATGGCTGCGGAAAAGGTTGACCAAGGTCCAGCAGAGCACCCATACACAAAGGGTGAGTAGAACTAGACGTGCCAGAATCAATGCCATATCGTGAATCATTGATGAAGTACCCATCTGCGAGGCCTGCAGTTAAACCCAGAATTTCATCAGCTCCACAGTCTTCCCTCACATATCCCACAAATGTTTCAAAGATGTTCTAGTTCAGAGTCAAAAAAAAAAAAAAAAAAAAAAAAAAAGCAAGCTGGACATGGAAATGTATTCCTTCAGCTGCCAGCAACAATTTCCTTGCTTTGTCCTTCTCTTACTACTAAATCTGAATCAGGTTTGCCTCTACTGTACCAAAGCAGAACAGTCCTGCTTCATTGTATCTACAGACCAAAACATTCAAAACATACATGCTTTGAGTTTGGGCATGGACCACCTGAAACCAATGTACCTGGAACAATTTAATGTTTTAAAGTTGGGGAGGATATGGGAATTTAAGTAATAGAATAAATACCATAAGAATCCCTTAAAAAAAGAATACTGGCCAATTTCTTCCATTGAAAAGCAGAAAACCCCCAAAGAGTTCCAAATATTTCAGTCCTGGCGAAGTCAACACTTTAGAGCAGGGGTGTCAAACTCAATTTCATTGAGAGCCACATCAGGATTGGGTTTGATCTTGGAGGGCCAGGGGGTGTGTGGGGTGGCCATGGTGGGTGTGACCATGGTGGGCATGACACAGAACTGTACCTCCGCAGACATGGTTTTATAAACTTATAAAAATAGGGAGGCGTACATTTCTGTGATTTTGGTCAATACTCCCTCTCGATGACTCAAGGGAAATGTTCTCTGCTCTTCCTCTCTAGGGTGTCATTTCACAGACATGAAAATAAAAGATCTACTTGATCACCTTATGAGAGAGAGACCAGATCAAGAAACTGACTCCACAGGAAGACTAGAATTATAAATTATTGATATAGGCTAGTAGCAGAATCCTGCAAAGCCTGAAAGGTAAAATATTTTACTTTTCCTCCCTTTTATAACCTTCTGAGTCAAGGAAAGCCTCCTGCAGTACTCTGGAGGCCCCGTTTTGAGCCTGGACAGCCTCCTGGACCACTCTGGAGGCCAAAAGCTGTTTGGGGGGGGGGTGTTGCTCTGCCTGTGCCCCATTTTTGCTAGCAGAGGCATCGTGGGCCAGACCTTTGCTATTTCCAGATCGGCCCCGCAGGCCAGATGTAAGCGCCCCACAGGCTGGATCCGGCCTGCAGGCCTTGAGTTTGACACCCCTGCTTTAGACTGAAATGCCGTGCAGATTGAAAGCAGGACATTGTATCCCACCCTATCCCATAAAAGTATCATCTTCAAGCGAAAACTACTTCTGCTATAAAATGAAATGAGATTCAAGTACTGCAATTGTGATAGACAATATATTCAATCCTATCTGCATTCTAGGTGGCTTGGATTTGTGGTATGAAGCCCAACTCAAAATGCTTGTGCATACAAATAACTTTTCATATAGGCCTCTAGGAGACACTTTCATCCTTACCAGAAGAACATTTTATTTCTAGTCTAAAAAAATTATCTTTCTGTAAACATGATGAGACTTAAACATTTATTCCTAAAATCAATTTAATATTGTGCACAATCAATATAAACTAAGAACAAACCCCACTCTTTACTAGCACTGATGATGTTACCTTTGGGTAATAAAACATCTTTAAGGAAAGAACCAAGTTCAGAGAGCACCAAGGACCCCTGCAATCAATCTTGCCTGAAATAACTTTTAACTTTGCTCAATATGCTGCTGTAATAACATGGAAGCTGAGGGCATTGTCTACTGTATAAGTTACAATCAGCTATAACTTTGGATACTTTACAAACATTTATCCGAAGCAAAGCAGCTTCATAAGTAATCCGGTAACTTTAATTTTAATGCAGGCTTAATTCTTGGTTTATGTCCATTTGTTCACTGACACAGTTGAGTTACAGCGATGTTGAAAAAAATGGACATAGACCAGTCCTTGAGGTTCTGCCTATCATACCACCCTCATAGTGATGTAATCATAATCTAAGTGCTACATTACAGGGAGCCGCTGTCATGACTGCCATTTGTGACCTTCCCTGCTGGTTTCCCACAAGGAAATCAATGGGGAAGCTGACAAGAAAGATCACAAGTTGCTCTGGTAAGTCACTCCCACTTTTCTTTTGCCCAGAGCAACCCCTCTCCCCCCGTGCAGACCCTGCTGGCTCTCCCATGACTCGTGCATGTCCTGAACCCGCTCTTCCAGGACTCCCATACCCATTGCATGCATACTTACCTGAGATTCTTGCCTCTTCCCTCTTTAACAACTCATTTGTCTTGGGGTTATGACAGCAATTGTGAATATCTAGAATTGCTGTCACTAAGTGATGAGGTCACATGTCATGCTTTATGACTGAACTGCTCAGCTATGGCAATCCTAGTCCCAATTGCTGTCATAACCCGAGGACGGCCTGTAACATTAACACAGATGTTTTACTGAAGGTGGATAGGTGAAAAGAGAACTACCAACCCCCCCCCCCAAAAAAACGGGACATACTAGCTCATTTAGAGTATCTTGAAACTGGAAAAGATCATCATCATTACCTCAGAGATGAGGGCCCATACAAGCCTCCGTGCCAACATCACTGTGATGAATGCGGCCAGGTGATAATCAATGAGGTGAAAGTTCTAAAGGAGAAAAGAAGAGGGTATTCACCAGGGTGAAGGAGAGGCCAGAAAGGCAGGAGGTGCTGAGCTGATATAGTAGAAGCATGGAAGTTCCTATAGGGAAGAATCAGGAAACACTGTGAATAACTGCTAGCCAGCCAAAAAAACAAGGAAGAGAAAGGGTCATGTTAAGCATATTCAGATACAAAGGAAGCATTAGACTTACAAATACTGCACAGAAAGGAGAATACAGAAATGGGCATTCTATATATACATGTATACTTCCACTCCTTAAGAAAAAGCAAAATACCACAGATAAAAACACCCATCAGTTTGCCATATAACTGGGTGAGGAGGAGGAGCTCATCCTCCCACATCTCCATCCCAAGAGGCTACAGTGAACTTGCCCAAGATAAAAAGAAAAATAGCAAAGAAAGACTTATTAAATTGCTATAATCTGATGCATTCATTCCTACTGCAGGAAAACTTGGGGCAGGCAGATGAGGAAAGTTTGTTGAAGGCAGACTGAGCTGCCTTTACTTCTTTTAATAAGCATAGAAGTTAACAGTTCTAGAAGAAAAAAGACCAATTGAAAAATTACATGGCTGCATGGCAGAAAGGCTTCAGGGTTGCTCCAAAGCTGTGCAGCACATCATCTTTGCTTATTTATTGTTTCTACTTTTAGAAAGTGTTTCAAACACATCATTTCACATTTCATCTTTTTATTATCATAAACATTGTTTTATTATATTATTGTATTAAATGTTACAGTGTACTTTTTAATTTTTTAAAAGTGCTTTAATGTGATATAAATAAATAAATACATACATATCATTCTGTGGGCATTTAAGGGTAGGGATTCAAGGGTAGCTTTACCTTTAGCAAAAAGGTAAAAAAGGATCTCAATAAATGATTATTCCAGAATTATCTGCCCCATACTTGTTATCATCCAAAGGCTGTTTGAGGAAGAAAAAGGTTTTTTAAACAATATCTCATAAAAGAAATACATAACAAATCAATGTATCTCCTCTTGTAAAGCCTCTCTTAGAAATTAACACAACCCCTCCTCCGATGAATGAATCAGGATGCCTCTGGAATTGACAAAGTGCTTGAAGTTTTACATGCATTATTTCACTAGTACAGTTTTGGTCACCTACTGCTCAAAGCCACATTCTTGAAAAAAGAAAAGAGTTTTGCTATTCAACTTTATATACCTGGAAATCATTCAGTATCTGCCATCTCATTCTAAAGCAGAAAGAAAAATGAAGCTGTTTCTTTTGGAAAAGAAAACTAGGACATAATTTTTTTTTTCCTCTGAGTCGATAAAGTTCCTTTTCCAGAGGGACATAAAATTATGATGTATTTCTGCATTGGTAATGAGATCTCTAATACTGTATTTAAAAATGAAGCCTCAAGAAACTTAGAGGTATATTAGATTTCTATGCAGCATTTCAATGCACCTTGGGCAGTTAGAAAAAGATAAAAAATTGGAAAGAATTTGCAGATACAGAAGTCAATGTCTAATGAACTGAAATTTGGAATATTCAGGCTATACCACTGTATGCAAAAATCCAGACACTCCATAGTCAAATTGTATGTTTCAATAAATCCTTAGCTAAACAAACCAACAAAACCATTATGTGGTATATTTATCTGCAAATTTGAATGCACATTATTTTTTGTGTACACAATTTGAATAACTTGTACATATGTTCCCAACTCTGTTCACAAACTCTGAATATGAATATAATTTTTAAAAAAATTCTAGTCAATACTTTGTGATATCTCCTTTCATAGAAATATACTTTTCAAAGGTTTCCTATAGTTAGTTAAGAGCAGTTGGGATTGTACTCTTCACTATAGAGCTCTTCTTTCTCAAAAAAAACTCTGTTCTTCTGGGTCACTCTGAATGTTTGAAATCCCCCATGTTCAAGTCTATGGACTTGTTCAGTCTCTTTTTTTTCCTGTAAATACTTTATGGTATGTTTTAGATTACTATCTTAAATATCCAACCTATTTTCAGCTTCAATCTCTGATTCTGAGCTTTTAGGACATGGTGATATCCATGGTGGAATCTAGTCTTTCTTCTGCCTGCACAATATTTCTTTTGCTACAGCTCACCGTACAGCCCCAAACTCCCATCTTCATGCACAAAGCTTGGCAAGGGGTTCATTTTTTCCCAAATCCTTCATCCTGCTTTTTCCAAATATATTTCACCAAATATATCAATTTTTGTTTCACCTCTGCCAAGTACTTTATTCTAAAAGCTTTCTAGTTAAGCAAGGGTTATTTTTGCAGACAATTTTTGTGATGATGTCAGAGAAAAGATTCTCTTTTCACCATTGATGATCTCTGTTGGAGTTCTTTTTAAAAGTCTTCCTCTGCTTTCTAAAAGTTAGTTTCATTTTCAAATGGCCAGCTGCCTAGAGAATACTATCATGATCATGGTATCTCACCTGCCAGCAAATATACTAGCATTGTTGGGAGTTTCAGCTGAAAGCAGGCAAAACAATCATTACCTGAGAGGTTAGAAATTGTATGTTTACATAACAGCTCTGGTTTTTAGCAAAAGAAAGAGACAATATAGAACAATAAAAAGGATAGATGATTTCTAAAAAAGTCAAAAGTTTGCTGACTGGACTTATCAGCTCATAAAATATGTGTATTCCAGAAGCAGAGATCACAGAGAACTTCCAAGAATTTTGTTCAGCTGATCTTCTCACCCTTCCAGTTCATAAAATGTGACTAGACAAGAATGGTGATACTATAGAGAGCATCTGGATTAAAATAAGTAGAAGAATGTCTAACACTCATTGAAATAATCCACTCCAAACAGAGAATAGATAAAATGCCAAACAATTGGAAGAAATAAAAATAATAGCTCCAAGGAACTCCACATCAGTTAATTTGACATTGCTCACTATAGCTTGAGAGATCATCATAAAAATCTATTTTTAAGCTTTTGGGGGAAAAAATTCAAGAGACAAGTCTATTGAGTCTTCTTACCTCATTTTTCATTAGTAGGTTCCTTAGTAGACTGTGGAAAATGTAACTACAGGTATCTAGATTTCAGGAAAACATCTGACAAGCTACTTTATTACATACTGACTAGCCAGTTAGTAAGTATGAGATGTGCCAAGGAAGTCCATACAAAACTGGAAAGAAGAACGGAGTATGAAGCTGTATGTTTCAATCCTAAATTGAAGAATCTTCAACATTTTTATTAATTACTTAGTTGAAGAGGTGGAAGGAATGTTTTTCAAATTTGTTGAGGACACAAAATTAGGAGAGAACAATAATATTGTGAAAAAAATAAAAATATGCTACATTAAATAATAATTAAACATATCCCATATTTCCCTGAAAACAAGCCCTACCCCTAAAATAAGCCCTAATTAAGCGCCTGGGTCCCCGCCATTTCCTCTGGTTTTATTTATTTATTTATTTTATTTATTTGTTCAAGTTGTATGCTGCCTTTCTCCAAAGACTGAAGGCGGCTTACAATGCATTTAAAAACTATATATATAAAACATTAAAAGTTAAACCATTAAAAACAATTAAAACCCATTCACACCATTCATGGCCGGATCTCGCCAGATCGCAACAGCAAGATCAACAGCCCCAGGCCTGCTGGAAGAGCCAGATCTTTACTGCTTTTCGGAAGATCAATAGGGTGGGGATGGTCCGGACCTCAGGAGGTAACTGGTTCCCGAGAGCTGGGGCAGCCACAGAGAAGGCCCTCTCCTGCGGGCCTGCCAGTCGGCATTGTTTAACTGACGGGACCCTGAGGAGACCAACTCTGTGGGATCTTACCGGTTGCTGAGAGCTATGCGGTAGAAGGCAGTCTCGAAGATACCCTGGCCCTGAGCCATGTAGGGCTTTAAAGGTGATAACCAACACCTTGAATTGTGACCGGACACCAATAGGGAGTAAGTGCAGCTCGTGGAGAATTGATGTAATGTGGGTGTACCTAGGTGCACCCATGACAGCTCTCGCGGCTGCGTTCTGGACCAACTGTAGTCTCCAAATACTTTTCAAGGGTAGCCCCATGTAGAGCGTGTTGCAATAATCTAACTGTGAGGTGACAAGGGCATGAGTGACTGAGGAGAGCCTCCTGATCCAAGTAGGGTCACAATTGGTGCACTAGGCGAACCTGTGCAAAGGTCCCCCCAGCCACAGCTGACAGATGTTGCTCTAATCTTAGCTGTGAGTCTAGGAGGACACCCAAATTGCGAGCCTGTTCTGAGGGGGACAGTTTCTCCCCCTCCCAAGAACCAAGGATGGACAATCAGCATGGTCTTTAGGAGGCAATACCCACAGCCACTCAGTCTTGTCTGGGTTAAGTCTGAGCCTGTTGACTCCCATCCAGACCTTCACAGCCTCCAGGCACTGGCACATCACATCCACCACCTCACTGAATTGACGCGGGGTAGAGATATACAACTGGGTATCATCAGCGTATTGCTGATACCTCACCCCGTATCATCGGATGATCTCACCCAGCGGTTTCATGTAGATGTTAAATAGGAGGGGAGAGAGGACCGAGCCCTGAGGCACCCCGCAAACGAGGGGCCTAGGGGTCGACCTCTGTCCTCCTACCAACACCGACTGTGACTGACCAGAGAGATAGGAGGAGAACCATCGTAACACGGTGCCTCCCACTCCCAACTCCCTTAGTCGTCCCAGAAGGATACCATGGTTAATGGTATCAAAAGCCGCTGAGAGGTCAAATAGCACCAAGATGGAGGAATGACCTCCATCTCGGGCTCGCCAGAGATCATCCATCAGCGTGACCAAGGCAGTTTCCGTGCTGTAGCCAGGCCTGATGCCAGACTGAAAAGGGTCTAGGTAATCCGTTTACTCCAATGACCACAGGAGCTGAAGTGCCACCACTTTCTCTACAACTTTTCCCACAAAGGGTAGGTTGGAGACTGGATGAAAGTTCTTTAATTCTGCTGGATCCAGGGAAAGCTTCTTGGGGAGGAGCCTTACAACCGCTTCTTTTAATGGTTGCGGGAAGG